GGGCTTTTTTGATGAAAGCAACTTGACTTCCTACCACCACCTGCCTCTTGAGTATTGCCTTTTGAGCGGTGAGCAGCTGAACCTGAGTTTGGTTACTTGTGTGTGTGGTTTTTTACTTGAAAGCAGAAGAAACTGACTTCTGCCCTTCGTTTTCTTGGTTGGGGTTCTAGTTAAGGAATTGTTGGGCATATATAATAAAGCCAATCAAGAATTTGTTTCCTCAAGTTTTACATTACATTATTTCATGGGAATTTAAAGATTTCATCATCCACTGGTGTTGGATCTTTGTTCACATTATCCACCCTAGCCAATGGTCAGAGCAACAAAAGGTTTAAGTGCTACCATATTCAATACAGATTTAGCCTTTTTTTTTTTTTTGAGACAACTTCTATTGTGAGAAGGTTTAATAGCCTGAAGCCACTTGGGGAAGGGAAATACAGTTCAAAGGGATGATCTTCTGGTCATCTGATTAATAAGAACTGGGAGAGGAAAATTAGCATGGTAAGTGCCTGTCTGCTTATGAAAAAAAAGTTGTTTGTTTTAATATGCTGCTGACAATAGCTATTTATAGCTACTCCTGAATGTAAGTCAGCAAGAGGGCAGGGGATGGAGGATGAGAGAGAGATGAAGAGGGAGAAAGAAAGAGATGGGAGATATCAAATGGATGTTGAGGTCTGGAGTTGATTAATCTGTGAGAGTCACCAGGACAGTTAATAATAGATCACCATTACCCACAAATTCACATAACAGTTACGTCAGTGCTCCTTTATGGACACTTAGAAAACAACTGTAGAATCTGTGATTATATTTCACCTACATCAACCATATAATTACCATAAAACTTGACCTAAATTAAAAAAAATTTGCTCCAGTTCTTTGTTTTGATACCTCACTATTTCTCTCCTTAAAGCATATATTCTCTCCCCTGTGATGTCTCAGCACACCCGCAGGGCGAGGTTTATTAATATGTGACCCTACTGCTCTATCCATAACTGAATAAATCAGTACCAATCCACTGATCTCTGATTAACTGGACTTGGAGCTTTTCATGATGAATTAAATCTATGCGGCAAGCAGCACAGTGCGTATGAGACCCTTAACAAATGGTAACTGTTGATAGACTGATATTATATTACTGATACAGTTATTCCCTTTTTACTCTCTTAACTTTCCGATTGCTTCAATTCTGCCACCTTCTTAAATTCTTTCACTTTCTAAAACATGATTAATGATATGGGCTACCCAAGGTTATATTCCTTTCCTGATTTTCTCCACTAGCCTGCCCTCTGCTCCCCTTCTCCCCTCCCTTCTTTCTTCTCTTCTCTTCTCCCAACCCTCTCTGTTTCATGGTGTCAACCACTTTTTTCTAGGTAACTATTTTCCACTGTGGTTTCTAACTTGTTCTTCAGTTCTTCAGCCTCATTCCCATTCAGTATCTCTAAAGACTAAAAATTTGAAATTTTCTGATGGTTAGTAAAATAGAATATGGAAATGACAAGTACTGAAGTGCTGAACTGATCAGTTCTGCCCTCCCCCTTTTATTTAAAAATAAGAATTTCAGTGGGTGGGGGAGGAGGCAGAGGAGAAACTGTAGTTCTCCTTGTAGGGAGATTAGTAGATAAAAATAAATCTTTGTCCTCTAAAATTACAGTAACTAACATTAGAATGATAATTTGCAGTTTCCCGTGGACTCCTCATATGCCTGAAATGGCTCTACTCACGTCCATGTTAGTGATGAGGAAACTGGTATTCAGAGAGCCTGAGCGCCTTGAGTCTGCAGATGGAGCAGGATCCGACGTTCATTCCATTTGACACCAAGACAGATCTGTGTGAAGAAATAAAACATGACACCACTTAAAGCTGCCTCTGTTCCTGCCAGCTGTAATTCAGGGTCAGGTGGTAGAGCTTGAGGTAAAGGGCAGTCAGAGAAAAGTTAAATGGCTTCACATGAAATACTCTGCTTTGTCAGGGGCAAGCACAGGAGGCCTTGGCTGTGGGGTCTTGTGGAGTAAGGAGAGAGGCCGACTTCTTCACCTTGTCAGTGGAAAGCTCCAAGAGGACTTCTTGTGGATGCACCTTATATAGGGCAGATTAATTAAATCTGGCTCTGTCCCACCAAAAAAGAGATTCTAAGTCACTTTAGGAGAGAGTCAACTGAGTGTTTAATATCACAAGCCTTAGCTATGGTCAAACTTGGCTCTGTTTGTGGTTCTGGGGCACACACTGGTGCTCTGTTTGATTTCTCTAAGCCTCAAATTCTTCATGGGTAAATTGGAGAATAAAACTAACAATTCTTTTGAGAATTAATTGAGATACTACATGTAAAAGGGCTTAATTCAGTGCCTAGTGGTGTTATAATGGCTACTATCATCTTTAGGTAATTACTAAGCTGTAGTGAAAAGGACACAAATTTTGGGGTTAAACTGATGTGGGTTCAAACCCCTCTCCTACCAATTACCCATTGTATGAAACTGGGCAGATTACTTACCCTTCTCTGAGCCACATATTCTCTGTGTATTGGGTCTATTACTACTCTATGGGTCTTAGCAAAATGTATTTTTGTTTAAGCTGCTCATCAGCCATGTAAGGGGAAAAATGAGTGCTTTCAGCCTTGGAGACTATACTACCTTGCCTTGCTCAACGTTCTCCCAAGCACTTTGCTGACATATAAGTCACACTCTGTTCACTTACGCCTTCTATTTTTAAACATTTACCATTTAAATAAAATACACAAAATTACAGAAAAACAAAGCATATACTCATACACCCAACACAAAGATTAAAGAAATATTAACATTTTCATATTTTGCAGATGTCTGTCTTTCTAAGAAATAAAACATTAAGATAGAGTTAAAATTTTACTCTTTCTGTACTTCTTTCCTTCTCAGATATTGACAGCAAAGCATATTAATGCCATTAATGTCTGTATACTTTGTAACATATATCTGTATTCATCAAATATACTATTTGGTGTATTTCTTGAAGGTTTGATAGAATTCATCTAAAAAACAACTATGTCTTTGTAGTTAGATTTTTACTTACCAATTCGCTATCTTTTATATTCAGAAGTCAACTGTATTTTAAAAAAATGTTTTAAGATACATTTTTCTAATAAACGTTTGCTTAACTTTTTACTACAAAGGGCATCAAGTTGTTTATATGATTTCTTCCCACACTATCTGTAGTTATACTCTTCCTTTTAATCCCATTGTTAATTTTCTAAATTTTTTTATTTACATAGCCAACATCATAGACTATACTCTTCTTAAGTTTGCAGATTATCATCTGGACAATACTGTCTTTGATTTCTTTGTTTTCTATTTTATATGTTCTAACTTTTATTTTTCTTATATTCATCACTTTACTTTTATTATTTGCTATTTTTCTTTCTGATTGTGGGAGCTAAATGCTTAAACCGTTCTTTATATATACTTTTTTTTTTACCTTCTAATACGTAAATATGCTGTGACAATATAGCTTTTTCTCAAAGTTTCATTTGGTCTCCTCTATAGTAATGTATAATATTGCCACTTTCCTTCACTTCTATTTATTTATTTTACTTCAATTAAATTTTAATTTAATGTCCACTGCCAGTTAGTTATATAAAAACATGTTTTGATATTTCTAAATTAAAGGGTTTGGATATAGTATTTTTGCCATTGCATTGGGGTCACAGAATGTCCTCTCTATAATATTAATTTGCATCTTTGAGCCTCCCGTTTTGGTTTACTATATTAGCAACTTTTTGTTAATGTTTTTAGTGTTCTTGGAAGGGGTGTACTTTAACTATTGTGCGAGATGTTTTATTGTATCCACTAGAAAGTTTGGAGTTTGTAATTTTTTATTTTGACTATTCCTGTGGTCTGCTTCATCTATCACTGAGAAATGTGTATTTTTATCTTCAATTGAAGTGGATTTGTCCATTTCTTATCGTAATTCTGTCATATTTTGCTTTGTATAGTTTGAGAGTATACATTTCATGACATATTGTTTGATAAATGATAGAATCATCACTGTATTTGTCTTTTTTTGTTATTCAACTACATTTTTATCCTGAAAATTATTTTTGCTTTAAATTCTGTTTCATACACTATTGTTTTTTTTGATTAGTTTTTAAAACATTTCTTTTTCATCTCTTTACTTTCTACCTTTCTGTTTTATTTTGCTTCAGGCATATCTCTTTTAAAGTACATATACCTGTTTTTTCTTAAAATCTTTTGTCTTTTATATGATGAATTAAACTTAGTTCTTTACTAAGTTTACTTCTGTGTGTGTGATGATTGCTGATGTATATGGATTAATTTGTAAGTCTTGGTGTGATTTTTTAATTATACATTTTCTATGAGTGTAGTTTTTCCTTCTCTATCTTATATTTTGTTAAATTTTTACTTAACTTTCTTGGCTTTACCTATTTGAAAATATTGTTTCCTATGTTTATTCTTTGAGAGACTACTCCAAATATTTAACATGCCTAAAATAAAAATAATAATAATATAATTTTAATATAATCGATATCTCTTTCTCTTCACTAATAACAGTAAAAAGCCTTTAGAATGTTAAGTCTAAATTCTCCCTCATGTCTTAACATTGTAACTTTTTCTTGTCTTTTAATTATACTATTATCTGAACTTTAACCTGTATTGTTGATATTAAGAATTCTTCTTTCCTTGTAAGTGCTGCTCTTTCACAAAAATTCTGTATTTTCTAATTGCTTTCAAGACTTTTTTATTCCGATGTTGTATATTTTTATTCTGAGTATCTAAAATTTTTACTCTGCTAGAAACTTTTAATGTTTTTGAATCTGAGGATTTGCATTTTCATCACTTCTAGAAATTTTTCAGCCAAATTTTTCCTTTGGCTCTTGCTTCTCCACCATTTCTAACATACTTTGCACCCAGAATTTCCTTTTAAATCTCTACTGGACCCTCCCATTCTATTCTCTATTGGTTTCCAACCAATCTTTAATCTTTTACATAGTTTTCCTTCTCTGAAATGCATTCTCTATTATTTCATCCAATGTTGTTACAGTTTACATATTCTCTTTTCACTTGTGTGCACTTCAACACATTTATTGTGAGTTTGTTCTAAGTCCCCTTACTACATTTTCACATGTTTTCTTAGATTATTTTACTATTATCTGTTGCTTCTCCAAACTTCTTCTTCTTTCTTTAATCACTTAAAACACTGTCTTTCATTTGTTGTTTTATTATCTTAATTGCTTGTTACATTGATCTTCTGGTTTGCTTTTACTCATGAGTTTTATTCGTTGTGAATTGTTTCTGTGTGTGTCTATGTTTGACCTTGCTGTTAATGGAGCTTTTCTGTTAAGGAGGTACTGAGCCCCAGCTAGACATGGCACGTTCACTCAGTTTGAAGTCTGCCTGACCTTTGTGATGTCTACAGTTCATAAATAAATTTTATGTTACTTTCTTAGCTTAAGGTTTCTTAAACCAATTAGAGAAAATAAATTTAACCCTCAAACCTATAAAAAGTATAGGTCAAAGTTTTTATTTTCCAGGAGACTGTACTTTCTGTAGCCAGAGCTTCCTTGCCACCTGCCCTAGCCTTTGGCAGAACATTTAGCAATCACACTTGCACCAAGTGCACTGATCTTGGCAGTTCTGCCTTTATGCAGACCAACAGCTTGATCTCTTGCTTTCAGGTAAGCACTAAAACACAGGCTCTTGGGCTACTGTGGTCAGTGACTACCAGAAAAATGCACATATTTGTTTAAATGGTAACCACTTTGATTTTTAGGGTTTTTTTGTTTGTGGCAAGTGGAGATTCCCTTTCTTATTATTGGTGAGATGAGTGATGCATTTTATGGTTGTTTTATTGTTGTTATAGTTTATACAGTACTTATAGGTGCTTAGAACAAAAGACTTATTCATATTATGTTAGTTCACCATCTTGCCTATAATTGGAACTTTCTTCTTGTTGAAATTTAATAAGGCAGCTAAAAACTACAGATGTTTGAGGCTACCTCTATCTGATATGCTTAGGATTCCTTTAAAAGAAAATTTGACGTATTTTAGTCATTTGCATCCTACCTTCAGGATTTGTGGCATATGTGACCATTAGTATTATTTATTTCATAGTTTTTGCTAAATAAATGCACTAAAACAAAAATAAAGCAAAAATAAAACCTCAAATGGATTATTTATCCTGGATCTAAATAATATCTGGCAAGTCATGATTTTTTTTCAGCAATTGTAATTTTCAAGTTAAGCATCAAATTAGATATGTAACTGTTTTTAATAATGTCATCAGTCTTACCATCTAGGATCACATATGGTACTAGAGTCATGAAACACTTTAAGAAATTGGGGAGCTTCAAGATGGTGGAATAGAAGGATGCAGAGCTCACCCTCTCCCATGAATACATCAGAAATAATCTGCATGTGGAATAATTCTCACAGGATACCTACCGAACTTTGGCAGAAGATCTTGTACAATTAGAACTATAAGGAGAATCTTCCCAAAACTCAGTAGGAGAAAAAAAGAAAAGAAAAAGGAATTCAGGGCAGGACCTGCCCTCTGTCCAGCTGGGAGAGAAGGGGAGCTTTACGCTTGGAGGAGAGAGCAGCAGCCACTTGGCAGACCGAATGCAGAGAAACCAGCACAGAGGTCTGTGCGATCCCTAGACTGAGATGTGAGCCGGGACTGGGTGCTGGAGCTCAGGCTTCAGGGGATGGACCCAGAGAGAGGATTGGGGTTGACCACATAGATGCAGCCTCAGGGGGCTGGAGTGTGGTGCAGGCTGAGGCTGGGAATATGTGCAAAAGAGCCTGGGTATGCCATAGAAAACTCCACTGCTGATACTCAAGGTGGAGAGGGTCGCAATGCAGCCAGCCATAGCAGCCTTCTCCCCTAGCCCAGAGGGCATTGCTTACCGCACCATTGTTAAGGTGTTCTCACAGAGGGATGGGTGTAATGTGGCCCACCATAGCAGCCTTCTCTGCTAGCCTACAGGGCATTACTTGGCTGCCCCATTGTTAACACATTCTTGGGAAGGAATGGGTGGGGCCAGACGTAGCAGTCTTCTCCACTTGCTCTGAAGGGGCACAATAGCTAGTGGGCGGCTCCCAAACAGAGGCAGGGCTGAAACCTGAACTCATTCCCAGGGGTCACACAAATTTGCATGTGGGATAGAAATTTGAGTTGAGCCCCTGGCAGCTGTGGCAGATTTACTCTGCTGGTGCCTTCGTAAACTCAGTGCCTCTGGGACATCAAAGCAGAATATTGGTGCCTGGCAGGGGCAGATCTGGTGGTAATAGCTGGTGTGCATATGCAGAGGCAGGACTGGGGTCTGGGTTGACTCTGTAGTCCACGGTGGATCCAAGTGTGCGACTCCACACGCACTACACCGGGTCCTGATGCCTGACATCAACTGATCTGCACTCGAGACTTTGTGAACACAGAGCCTAAGGGACACCAGAGCCTGTCAGCATTACCACAGCTGAGGTGGAGACAAGGCAGCATCAAAAAAGTGTACTTTGTAAGCCCACACAATCAGTGATAGGCAATACCACAGAGGGCATTTGCTGGTGGACATCTGTGGAGGAATACTCAGTGGCTCTTCTCCCAGTAAAAGTGCTGCAGTCCTGCCCACCACGTACCACAGCTTGCAAACAGACGTTCAAATGTCTACTCTAACACCAGGGGAGCAGATCTGGCCCCGGACAGGGCTGTGACAACCACAGAACAAGGAGGAGGCCCTGCTCAATGTCCAGTGCAGGCTTTGGTCACCACAACACTCCCAATCAGAGACTAACAGCCAGCACACATGGAGGAAAGAGGTGGCAGCCATCCGTACTAAAAACAGCCCTCACAACAAAAATACTAGACACACACAG